CCCTGGCTGTCTTGAAACTTTCTTTGGAGACCAGGCTGGCCTTGAACTCACAATGATTCGCTTGCCTCTGTCTCCCAAGTGCTGGGATTACAGGCATCTGCCATCACCACCTGGGTTATAATTCTTTCCATTATCCAGTTTGCCTAGCTGGCTTCTCATGTTAAGTGCAATAGTCGGAAGAGAGGTAATTCAGCAATTTTCAAGTTTAATCTGTGCAATTGTTTTCAATAGCACAGTCTTTATTTCTCCAACGCCATGTTCTCAGTACACAGCCCGGGTCATATAAATAGGGGGTTAGCTGGAAAGAGTTTATGAGTGTAAAATTAGTAACCCTTTAATGATGGGTCATTAAAATGCCTTTTCCCTGAGATCTTTAACTAAACAAACGTTAAGGGCTTTAAGAAAATATAAAGACTTTGAACCTGTGTTACTCATCATCCTATCACTATAACAAATACCAGATGGGCCAAGGGTGTAGCTCAGTGGCAGGTGTCTGGCCCTTGAGGGGCATTGGCTTCCATCTCCGCCACCAAAAACCAAGCCAAAACAAAACCAATCAACTAACCAACCAACCAAAAAACAAACAAAAAAAAACCCCAAAACAAAACAAAAACCCCAAAACACCATGCAAATAACAAACAGACCAAGGGAAAGTAAAGCCCCCAAACCATGAAGAGATAAACAGTTCTACTACAGAATCTATAAAAACAGAAGGCTCACAGTTGTTTATCTCACTGTCCGCTCTGGCCTTGAGTTAAGAAGAAGCATTGTGTTAAATTAAAACCACTAGCCTCGAATAGGAAGAAGAGGCCTGAATTCCGTATTTTTCTTCAAGATTTTACCTCCCAGACCTAAAGCATGTTCGTTAGGTCCCACCTCTCTAAGGTTCCACTCCTCTCTGTGATATCACACTAGGGACCATGGCTTTAAAACAGTACCTTCACCATTCAGACTATAGCAGAACCCAGGCCTTAGTAATTCAAATATCTGTCAAAGCTTTTTCTCTTTAAGATTTATTCTTTATTTTACTTTTTTGTGCTTTGGTGTTTTTGTCTGCATGCATGTCTGTGTGAGGGTACCAGATCCCTTGGAATTGGAGTTACAATCATGGCCTACCATTTAGGTGCTGGAATTTGAACCCAGGTCATCGGAAGAGTGCTCTTAACCACTAAGCCATCTCTCTAGCCCCCTGACAAAACTTTCTGAAATAGAGTTGTTGAGTGACTAACACCTGCTGGCAATAGACTAGTTTATTGAAAATACACTTACGGACAAAATGCAGGAAGAGACTGGCCGCTGTCAGTTCTTCAGCTAGAAAAATGTGATAAGCAGAAAGTAACAGCCAGCTATGTTGGAGGAGAGTCTGATCCTCCAGATCAGTAAATAGAACTGTGATGTTTACAGGGATAAGGTTGAAATATTCTGTTTACTTTTTTTATTTTTTAAAAAGTTATGTTATATGGGTGCTTTGCTTCCATGTACGTCTGTGTACTACATGCATTCAGTACCTACAGAGGCCAGATGAGGGTGTCAGACTCCCCAGGACTGGAGTTACAGATGGTTGTGGGCCATCATGTGGGTCCTGGGCATTGAACCCTAGTTCTGCAGAAGAGCAGTCCACACTCTTAACCAATGAGCTATCTCATCTCTCCAGTCCCTGAAGCATTCTTAAGGGATGGAAGGTTTGATTTTTAATTGCTCTTTCCAGGATCAAGAGCTTTTGTTTATTTTACATGGCATCTGGTAAGGGAGAAATGAAAATAATGCAGCCCAAACGAATGTGCCTTTGGCAATTCCACTGTCTACAAGCCACTGGATCTTCTGGGTGTGATTTTGCCAGCTCTCTATTAAAAAGCTATTCCCCCCGCCCTCAGGAATCTAGTCCAGATGGAAATAGCTTTTTACCAATGAACCAGCATCATTATAGAGTTTGGACAAGTAAGCAAGCTCCTTCACAGTATTGCTGCCAGCAAAACAAGTATTAAATAGTGGGCTTCGGTTTACTTCTTTACCCACTTAGCACTCCTTTATGGAACTGTAACCATGTATAAGTTACTGTGAGTTAATGTTGGTAGCACATGAGATGGTGGGAATGCCAAGAGCCTTGCTCTCAAGGAGCTTGTGCAGCTGGTAGGAAAAGGCATGCCTTGGTGTGGGTGTGTGTTGTGTGTGTGTGTGTTGTGTGTGTGTGTACATGCGTGTGTGTGTGTGGTCATGTGATCATGAGCACGCACATGCATGGAGAGGGCAAAGGACAACCTCAGGTGTTACTCCTCATGGATTATCCACTTCAATTATTATTATTATTATTGTTACTATTATTATTATTATATCAGCTCTTACAAGCCTAGAAATCGCCAAGTAGGCTAGGCTGGCTGGTTGGTTGACTGTTGCACCCCAGGATCCACTTATCTTCACCTTCTCAGCCTTGGGATTGCAAGTGTTTGCCACCACACCTGGTTTATCATTGTTATTATTATTATTGAAAAAAATCAAAACCAAACCAACCAACTCCAAACGGTACAAAACCTAAAACCAAAAACCCACCTGGATTCTGGAGCTCAAACTCAGCTCCTCACATCTCCTGAGCCGCAGCCCAGGTCCTTGCCTCTACTTCTCCTTGTGCTTTGATTGCTCCTGTGAAATTATCTTCTTTTGATTGAACAGAGGAAGAGGGGGAGGAAGAGGGAGCAGGAGAAAGGAAATAGCTAAGAAGGGGCATGGGGCAGGGGCAGTTGTGCTCTGGGTTGGCTTCTGTTTTCGCCTTGCAGGTCCCTGAATACAGCTCTTGTAGGAGGGGATGCCCTATGCTGTGGACAGTGGGTATGTCTCCATCTTTGGGAGAAGTTCCCTAATTCCCTTTCTTAGACATTGAGTTCATAGGTTCTTTTCTGGGTTTGTAACAGCAAGCGTAGTCATGTAGGCACAATGACGTTCTGAGGTTAGTCCCATAAGATTATAATGGAGTTGCAAACTTCCTATGGCCTAGTGACCTCGCAGCCGGTCATAGCATCACTGTGTGACCCATCACTCATGCGTCTGTGGTAATGGTGGTGTAAACAGACCACAGTGCTGCCCCTGGCCTAGAAGAACTACAGAAAGCATCACTTGAGTAAATAATGCTTGATGGTAAACGATTCTTACTGGCTTATCTATTTACTGCGGTGAATTTTTTATTCTAGAATGTGCTCCTTCTCCTTACGAAAAAAAGTTGACTGTAAGTCAGTTTGCTATATTATGTTGGCAGCACCCTCTTGTATCTTGTGTTTACTGTTCCTCCTGATTGCATCATTTTGTCTTGCTCTAGATTTAATCTTATATTTTGTTCATTTTGGTCCTAGGAGCAATAGGCCGTTCCCCGCCCCCCCCGTGTGTGTGTGTGTGTGTGTGTGTGTGTGTGTGTGTTATCCCACAGGCTGGGTGTGTAGTAAGCTATACCATCTAGGCCTGTGTAAGGACACTTAGCATGCCGATCATACAACCACTCCAGTGTCCCCCCCCCCTTCTGCTCTTCTCAGCTTCAAGAGCCTTGAACTACCTGCCACTGAAAGCTGGGCAACAGCATCGAGATGCCAGGGATAGATGCGCTGTCTTCTGACCTCCTTGGGTCACCAGAGTGTTTGAAGGCAGAGCCTCTGGCCAGTCAGAACCAAAAGGGAGGCGATGGGGAAAGATTCTTTTTTTCTGAAAGCAGATTCACACCTCCCCCCCTCTCAAATTGGAACAGTCCTGGGAAAATGGGACAGGTGTCCCTAATCAAGAGACATGGCTGTTTACTCAACTCAGCCGAGCGGGCCTAAGGGAGAGGAAGTCTGGCTACAAAGAAAACTTAAATTTTCCGATCTGGTAGTCCCTGCCAGCTGCAAACCGCAAGACCAAGGAACCCCTGCCGGCTCTGTCTCTAACAGGTGGATACCTGGAGCTGGTGGGGCAAGTCAAAGTTCGTTCTGGAGATCAGAGGCCTGAGGAAATTCTTTGTTTCTCTGCCTCTACTACCTACTAAGTAAGCCATCTGCGGGGTATGCCGATGGGGGAAGACGGTAAGAAAAGGCACCGGACGCTGCCTTTCCACAGGATCACTAGGTTTTGGCTACAGACGCAGAGCATCAGGAGTAAAGCAAGAAAGAGCAAATCAGAAGGGTTCAAACACCAGCCAGCCCAGTCACTCCAGTCCCGGGCCAGGACAGCCATGGTCTCCCGCATCCACTTGGCCGCCAAATATCTCCAAGAGTTTTGCTTCTAAAGGGACCACCAGACTGTGATTGGCCTACCCTGGGAGTGCCTAATCCAGTACACTCCGAGGCTCCCTTTAGCGGTTCCGAAATTGACGTGAGGCCGATTTTGGTGCAATGCGAATTAGCTCCAGCAGCGGAGTCGGGAGGATACTGCCTAGCTCAGGGAGCTCTGGCTTGGGCAAAGCTGAGACCCGGAGTCAACGCCCGCCCACGGCTGGCTCCATCCACGCCGCCGCCCATTGCCTTGACAACCAGCCCCCACCCGCCCTCCTGCACAGCCGGCTGGGGCCACCAGCTCCTGGGCGTGCGAAAGCGCCCCGCCCTGGGCGCCCCGAATCTGTAAACCACGCATCCCCACCTAGCCGGGAGCTTCCGAGCGCCACGCGGAGGCGCCCCCTCCTGCCTGAAAAGGGAAAACCCGGGCGCCCCCAGCCTTGACTTCATAATAAAGCTCCCCGAAGGCTAGGGCTCCCCCGCGCGTTTCAGCGCCTTGCACCTGCCGGGTTCCCCTACCCGTTCTCGCTGGGGGACTCTAAGTGCGCGGACGGCCCAGGAGCGTGCGTGTCCCCGTGGTCAAGTGCAGCACCTTGGCGCCCAGGGAACGGCGCTCCTGCGGAGGGGAGCGGGACATCCCCGAAGGCCGCCTCGCGGGAGGCGTGGGGGGGGGGGGGGGAGGCTGCCGGGTGCACTGGGAGGGCGGGGAGCCCGCGGGAGGAGGCGGGCTGGGGGAGTGGGGCGGGCGGCGGGGAGGGAGCAGGAGCCAGGCAAGAAAGTAGCAGAAAGTGAGGCTGGCAGGCGGCGGCAGAGGCAGGAAGTCTGTGCCGAAGAGCAGCAGAAATTAGAGCCAGGGAGGGACCGCGGCAGCAGCAGCCAAGGCGAAAGAGGAAACTGCCTAAGAGGAAGCTCTGCGGCAGCCCGAGCCTCCGTGCGCTCCGCATCCTCCGGCTCTGCATCCCCGCGCCCGGCATCCCCTCTGCGCCCGCGCGGGGCTCCCGGCGCCCCCTCCCCAGCGTACCCCGGCTGCCCCAAAGCTCTAATCTGCCATGGCCCGGGAGAACGGCGAGAGCAGCTCCTCCTGGAAAAAGCAAGCGGAAGACATAAAGAAGATCTTCGAGTTCAAGGAGACCCTCGGAACGTAAGTGGGTGCTGGGGACCAGAGGGTGGAAGTGGCATCGGTGGCGGCAGCTTTGCATCGGTGGCTGCTGCTGCTGCCGCCGCCACCACCACCGCCGCGGCAGAAATTGACTGGTCGCTGTATCCTCATTGTTCCATGGTCCGTTCTTGCGGGGACCCTCCGTGAGTCCACCGCGTGGGTCTGCGCCCACGGGTGACACCTCTTCTGGGCGGGGGAGGGGAGCTCTGGGCGCGCAGAGAACAGCCCACGCGGGCAAGCGACTTTCCATTTCCCTTGCCACCACCGCCCTCCACCGATTTTCTCCCCACGCGTGACTGTGGGCTGAGTATGGTAAATCTCGTTGATCGCTGGCTGTGTGCGCTTACTCACCGTATGTATGGGCGCACTGGGTGGACGAAAGTGATCACGAGGAAATGAAGCTTTTGGTCCTGCCCTTACATCATATAATCCTATGGAATTGACATATGCACGTACTAGGCTTAGGCTAGACTTTGGATGGCCTCAGGATGGTGGGAGGAAAGAATTTCGCAGTATTCAGAGTGACATGTGGGCAGAGTCTTATCAGAGTATTTCACATAGGGTCAGCGGCCGCGCTGGGATGCATGTCCGGGTAGGAGGAGGGTTAGTGAGTCTTTTAGAGGCGGTTCTCTCCGCGGCTTTACGTAGTCTCATGCTTGATGGTTACATCTCAAGAAAGCAGAAATAATCAAAAGTGTGTGTCATCAGTGTTCTGAACATGTGCCTCTCGGCACAGCTGCAGTTCCCTTCCTGCGCATGGGTTGGTTTTGTTTTGTTTTGAAGCGCCTGGGATAGGTAAAAGGACCGTGAAAGGAAGAATTCAACGCTGACGGAGGAGTGTGAAGTTCAAGTTACTCCCCCACCCCAACTTGATCAGTTTCTGTTTTTGATCAGTATCTATCCGTACAGATACAGTCACACACGTGCTGCACAAAATGAGCGTTTTGCTGGGGTTTAGAGGAGGTGTTGATGATACCAAGAAAAAGAGGGGGGTGGGTGTTTCCCGGGCATATCTGTGTGACTGGGTGCTTTTCTTCCCTTCCCTTCTGTCGTTTCAGCCTTCTTATTTCTGCACTGGCTTTGCTTTTCCAGGACCCCGTTTTCAAATCCGCTCTAAGCCCAGAGTTCCACAGCTAAATACTGCTAATGATTTCTCTTCACCTCACCCCCACCCCCATCCCCACATACAGTGGGTCCCCCAGAGAGAAGTTATAGGGGGACATTCTCAACTGTGCTCCCAGATGCCTGGGACTGGCCTGTGCAGTGTGCTTAGCCTAGAACAGGGTCACCCTGCTGCTGCTGCTGCTGCTGCTGCTGCTGCTGCTGCTGCTGCTGCTG